TTTTAGTATTTGCTGCTTAACAAAATAAGGCATTTTCTTAATAACAAATTATACTATAATAATATCTTGGGAATCCTGCTAAAGTTAAAAATTAAACAAAATAGTTTAGTATATTATCCGGAAAAAAATCTACATGCTGTCATAAAAAAAGAGTAAAAGATATGATGAAATAATTAATTGGATAGTTCTTTGAATCACAAGTGGTCAGATAATTAAAAATTTAATTTCACAACTAAGATGTTAGGATGACATTTAAGATACTGAGAGATTTTAAGACGCTCAAAAATTTTAGATACGTATTCGACAGCTTTTTATGTTCGGTATCTTTATACTCTTTGTAGTGACTTATAGAAAATCAACACTATTTTATATATTCTATGTTGAAGTCACAAGAAACTAAAAAAAAAAGGAAAAAAGAAGAAAATCAGTAATTTATATTCTTTTTTCGAAAAAAATAGTATGCTTAGTAAATACGAGTAATCGGCTGCTTCGCAGCAAATAATTTTAAACAGCGGAATGTTTTTAATTTCTTAGCGAGGTTTTATTCTCAGTTTTCTTTTGAAAAAACTTGACAATAATTTAAAAAGGAACTTTACTTTAAAGAAAACCTAAATTAAAGTACTAAAAAAATTGATTAGTATATTAATCAAGAAATTATATACGTAGTAGCGTAAAGAATAAGAGTTTTAAAAATGTTAAAATTTAATTAAATCGTTGGTAAAAAAGTTCTGCGAAACTCTCCCGGACTGGTGATTAAGTTTTTTTTTAAGATTATGATGATATATAAGATGTTGAGAAATTTTAAGATGCTTAAAAATGTTGACTATGTGTTCGTATTAATAATTATAAAATATATATTGGAGAAATTGATAAATATATTATTCCAAATCTATGCATACGTATGTATATTATTAAAATTGTATCAATTATTGAGAAAACAAACGAAAAAAAAAAAAAATATAATCACATGAAATAAGCACAATCTGGAGTATTATCATATTCCATCAGAAGCATGCTTTTCTGAAACTCGACATTCCTTGAATAAAATATTTTTTAGTCAATAAAATGTTTTATTCAAATTTCTTTTCTAAATGAAATTGCAAATAATTTTTTAGATGAAATGAAGCATCGTATTTTATAGTTTAAAAAAAATAAAGATAAAAAGATTACTAATCGGTTATTAGCGAAAAAAATATGAATGAAATTTTACGCTACGCGCGCGAAGTCAAGTTCCTCTAGTAAGTTAATCACATTTTAATATTAATCGCTCCATTTAAATATTTCTTCATTGTCGCCAAATTATTTTTTTAAAAATAATTAATTTTAACTTTTCCCAGTTTCTACTAAATAGAAACAGTTGAAACTTTAGATTTTTCAACTGAAAAATATGTAGATTAATATAGTATAGAAAAAATTCATACCTTATAATTCAAAAATTTTTCATCCTCAATTTAATTTAATACAAAAATTATAAATGATTATTAAAAATTATTTTTTGCATGAAATTATCTTTGGATAAATGAGTTTTATGAGTGGGTGCACTTTTTTTTAAAATTGCTTAATTAGTTTTTAAAATATGACTAAAAACGCAAAAAGTGAAATTAACATTAAGGGGTTCAAACTTTGAATAGCTCTCCTGACCAAACTTTGGGGACCATATTTTTCAGATTGCGGCTACCCCCTATATTTTGAAGATTAAGAATCCAAATATGTAAAAAAAAGGAAGGAAAAAAAGTGTTTATTCCGAGAAAGTACGTTTTTGTGTCCAATTTCTTTAATAATAATTGATAGTTAGCACTAAACGATTAGCATATTTGAGGTCACCCCCAGAAACCCTTAAGATTGGGCGCACTTAGTACGTGAAAATCCGATCATTAGAACGCAAGTTATTCAGGGTGATATATATATATTTTTTTTGCGGACTGTACACCTTGCCGCGTAAATACGTAATAATTACTTAATGACGTAATATGCGGAATTTACCTGATATTAGAGGAAAATAGGGTTGTTCGTACATCTACAACTGATTCCGTTTTTCAAAAGAAAAGTTTTGTAAATGTTACATTTTTGAGATAATATATATTTTGCGAAGGATCTCTCATAAAGACAGGATATTTAGTGAAGGGTTCATTTCAACGATAAAAAAATATTCCATGGAGGCGGGAACGTTGGTGGATTTAAATTTCTCTAAAAATAGTTTATGATTTCTTTTTTTTCTTCTGTCATATTTAGTTCATATCATTTACATTTAATTATATGCCATTTTTTACCAGGTCAATAGTTTTTAAAAAATTTAAAGAAATCTTTTATAGCACGCAGCGAACTGGTTTGCTGGCCGAACAAACTGAAACGAAATTCTAGGCAGGGTAATACTTCAAGATGATTTTTAAATTGTTTACTCACATGTTTTTGCTATTATTTTTTTTTTAGTTTACATCTAAATCTTTTTCTTTCGTGAGTTTTAGTAGTTTAAAAAATTTTGATACAAAAATAATTGTATCAATAATTGTTGCTAATATACTTAAATGGGGTCTTTTCCAAACATTTTATCAAATGCACATTTATAAAAGTTATTTAACTGTTTAAAGTATTTCAACCTCTCCATGACGAAGGTGGATATGAATATGAAGATTTGTTTAAAGCATTAAATCGCATATAAATAAAAAATAAATACACTAATTCGTATGATCATTTAAAACAATCAATACAGAAAACAAGCGGGAACACTAGTTTTAATTTCACATTAAAAAATTTGAGTAATTTTCAAATGAAATAAAAAAAAACTCTAATTTGCGTAAGTATTAATTTTGTACTCATAAGGAAAAAAATATCTTTTTACCTTACATCCAAATCGCAAGCCAATCAAAAATGTATGTAAACCAGTATATCTGCACAGTAAATAATTTAAATTTCCTAAAAGCAAAATAAATAAATAAATTAAATAAAATAAATATACAAAAAGAGCATAAAATAAAAGTAAAGTAAAATAAAAAAACATCGATTATAATGATGCAGATTTAATAGTTTTTTATTAGTTTTGTGTTTTCTTGTAATACTAGAACAAAAAGAAATAGTGTTGATTTTTATAATAGCAGTAAACAGTGTGTGTGAATCAAGATAAGTATAAAACAATTTTAGAAACATTGAAACAACATATAACGTTATACCAGTGTTTCATAATGCATATTTACTTTTATTTTATCAGTGCTGTGTTGTTTTCGTAATGCTAAAACAAAAAATGGTGAAAGTTATTTGACATAAGTTATAGGAGTGCTATAAGTTATTAATATTTATGTCAACAAATAATTCTTCTTTGCGACAAGTTATAAAGTATCACATACGATGGTATAATATTTATATATTTATACAACTACAAAATAGCATTCTTATCAAAAGGAAGAAAAATTTCTAGTGTTAAAATATGAAAAACGCGTTTTTTCTTGCCGCTTAAAAGACACTTATATTTATCAAATGAATTGAAAAAAAGATTTTTTCGTGTTTACAATGTCAGCATAAATCAAACTAAGAAAGGGAACACGCAATTTTCTTCTTTTTTTCTTTTTACTGCGTGGAACATTTTTAACATAAGATCGAGAATGACTTTTTGTACTACGGGACAATTCATTAATTTCATTTAATGGTTCTGTCAGGGAGACATCCGGATCATTTTAATTCCGGAATCGAAACATCTGGATCCAATGATTTAGTTCCGGATTCAGCATTTTTTGATTAAAAGAGTTATTTGCAGCAGAGTTTTAATAAATTACAATGCTTAAGTTTACGAATGCCTTTTTTCGAGTTCATTTGTGTGCATTTTGCACTATAAAATACTTTATATGAATAAAGAGATCAAATATTTTATTTCAAGTATGTAATTTTCGTTTATTTTTTAAAAATTTAATAAACATGAAATAAGTTAATGTTATATTGTTAAGGAATTACCAATCGGTACACATTTCCTGAATTTATGTGAAAGTGTGTTATCTTTGTAATATCATAACTAACAAACTTCTTATTAGAATTCATGTGGATATTAAGTCTAGAGATGAAATGATACGGTATCAAATAATGCATTCTTACAATTTTTTAGATTGTGAGAATTTCCATTCTAAAGTTACTATAAAATACAGTTGCTAGTTTGTTCATCCATTTAAACGTAATACTTGAGGTTATAGGAGCATTTCTTTACCTTTACGGTTTTGAATCCGTTTACAACTGGTGTGGTTGAAAAATCACGAATGCAAACTATTTTTCAAACATTTACAACAATCTAGGTTCAAATCTGTAATAAATCTAACTGNAGACATGATGTGTGTATGTAATTTAATTTCATTGGCTCGTAAGCCTTTATTTTATTTACTTATTATTTTGAGCTCTTGAAATATATGATCAAGGTAGATAGATCCCAAATTATGAAAAACTATATTATCATAATATTTATTTAAACTAATATATAAAACCATAAGATTGTACATTTAACTAAGTTTCGTATTCAAGGCTCCTAATTTTAATAACTATACAAATCTGTAGTTTTTAAGGCATAACACAAATCTCAACTTTTTCTGAAAGTTTAATTTAATTCAAATTTTGCTTTTATTACAATAGATACAATATTCTTTACACAATGCATTGTGAAATAAGCTTGAGTAATAAATATCATTAAAAAAAGATCAGTTTTAATTGCCAAAAAATGATTTTTGTCCCACTGTGTGGCGGCGTCTCTGAAAGCCTCATCATCTGAGCCTGCGCTAGTTATTGATTTTTCACTCGGTGATTTCTTCCTAGAAGTCGTTCTAGCGGACTAGTGTTTTCGTAAGCAAAATTTACAGCATGGTATATAAAAACGTGTGAATCCGAAATTACAATGGAGATTCCTTTAGCATCAATCGACGAAATGAATTCTCCTCGGAGAAAAGAAATTAAGGACAGGTAAATGATTATCTATTGAGGTGAACAATTTCCCTACCTCAAATGATAGAACTATTTTGTCTTTATTACAGATTCAATCTACTTTTCCTGATCTTAATTCTTCATGGAGTTGGTACCTTAATGCCTTGGAATATGTTTATTACTGCCAGATCAGTGAGTTAAAATTTTCTTTTTTTTAACTTTTTCTCTCCGATATTTATTTAAAAATATATTTTAAAATTACGCAAGCGTAAAAATGTTTCATTTTAATCCGTAGTTTAAAGTATTAGCCCGAAATTTTCACACCTTATCTTTCCATTATGTATTGCTTCTACCCTACAGTTTAAAGAGGAATTTTTGAATGTTAGCGATAATAAATTAATTTATTTTTCCTCTTTTTCTTTTGTGCAAGAAGGAAGTTTTTCTAGTTCTAATCTGTGTTTAAAATATTTCAATAAAGAAGATTTAGCCTGAATTTTTAGTTATATATGATTAGTACTTGAGATTAGCTTTTCATTTTTGTGAGAAACATTACATTAAATATGTTAGAAATTTCAGTTAATATTTTTAAATTTTCAACTAGCTACTAGCTAATATTTTTCTGTTTAAAATTTCTTTAGATGCAGACAGAATTTATATAATAAACTTGCGTAAATTGGACTATAATGTTTATATTATGTTCTAGATCATGCTTGAACATATCTATTCGCAACTTTTATATCGAAAATATTGCTTGTATTATAACAGAGCATGCGATATTTTCGAAAATATATTAAAGATCCATGCTTCTTTTTAATGAATTATTGCCATCCGAAACCTTTGTTCAAAACAAATTTATTATTATTTTAATTCGCATAAAATATTTTTATTTTTAAAAACACGTTATAGTCGACCTTGTTTTTAGGTTTTAATAAAGGGGGAAAAAAGTAATAATTTTCATTAGAGAAAACCTGCGCAAATATAATATAAATAGATGGTGTATTCTACACTAGGGTGCACTACGAGCTCTTTACTGCCTATACTTCCAGGTTACTATTTCCGGTGTATTTTGAAATCATTTAGCTCACAACGCGATCGAGTATTTTGAGACTATCTTGAGCAGTTTTTCTTGTATACGTGTATTTGTTACCTGATTTATTATTTGTGTTCTAGGAAAAAATCGTTATAAGAATCGTTATTTGAAAAAAAAAATGGTTGCAAAACACTTTTCTTGTCAACAATATACCAACTTTGAAATTTAAACCTATATGTTAATTTGTAAGATGAACTTAAGCTTGCTGGCTGCTCGAACACTATGCTAACACTAATATATGATGGTGCACGACTTGTAACAGGAACAAACAGTAATAAACAAGTAAAAAGAGGCTAAATCGGGACCGCTGAAAAGACGAGTTGTTTCTAAATCTAGTAATCATGTGTCAGCATTTTTAACAATACATCTATAAATAACTAAAACAAATTTTCTTTTCAAACTCAACAGAATTACTTAATATCATTAATGTCTCATGAAATACAGCAGATTTGAGCTCAGAAAAAGACATAATTTGATTATTGAAAATAAAATTATCTGTTTAAAAATATCACCTCGCAGAATTAGCTGTGGTAAGCTGCGCTGTACTTTCTAACCGGAAGTAGAGCAGGTCAAGATCTCGTTATTGTTGTTTACATTTATATTGAAAACGCCATCTATATTTTCAAATATATGTAATATACCTTTAAAAAAATTTCTGAAATATTCCGAATTTTCATTCCAGATTCAAAATTTCCCAGAATCATAGTTAAAAAAAAATTCATACTTATTTATTATTTTTATTTCGCTTTTATTTTTTTGAAATATGTTATTAAAAGCATTGGCAAAACTTAGTCGCATTTTTAATTAAATGTTGCCATTTTTTTCTTACTTAATCCTTTTTTTTTTAAATAATGTTTTTTTTTTTAAGAAAAAAAAACTTAAATTTGGATTCAAATATGTTATACCTATGTATGTCCTACTTTATTACTGAATAAAAAGTTGCCGCATTTTAATCGTTTTCATATTCCAATTAATATTTTGTATTTCCATTTCACTTTACTTTTTCTTAAAGTATAGGACATAGATATAAACGTCATAGATATATTAGTCCCTGGTAAATGGATATATTTTTCTTTTTATTTCTCTTTTACCTTTTGTTCACTGATAATGAGTGTACAATGCTTTTTCCCCGCACACCCTCTCGTAAATAAAAGAGAAAAGGATTTCCGCATGCCTCTCCTTTATGCTAGATTGACAGCAGCTTATCAGAAAACCACTGATTCTTTCAGACACACACACAAGAGAAAATAAAACATTTATCCTTTCCCTGGCCCTCTCAACCTAAAGATCTTAAAGGTCATAGAAGAAACATAGAAATTTTCTCTTTATAAACTGGAAGAAAATATCCTCATCCACATTCATTTTTCTCTGTTCAACTTCAACAATGAGTCAAATTTCCGCCACTTCCCTCAATCATTCTAGTTCAAAATGGGGAGAAAACCGAGCGAAATTTCCCCCGGTTTTCTGGATACCGGATAAATGGTTCAGTACTGTATTTATATATATGTATATGTGCATATATATGTGTGTATATATGTATATGTGTGTATATATGTATATGTGTCTATATATGTATATGTATATATATGTATATGTGCATGTATGTATATGTATACATTCGTATGTATATATATGCATGTTTATGCATACGTATATGTATACATCTGTTTGCGTATTTATATGTATACATGTGTATGCATGTGTATTATGCATATGTATGTGTATGCGTATGTATGTGTGTGCGTGTGCATATGTTTGCATATGTATGTGTGTGTTTATGTATGCGTGGGGATGCATGTGTATGTACAGGTATGCATGTGTGCGCGTATGTATCTGTATGTGTATGCGTATGCATGTGTATGTGTATACATGTGTATAGGTATGCATGTGTATGCATATGTATAGGTATGCATGTGTGTGCGTATGTATTGGTATACTTGTGTATGCGTATGCTTATGCATGCATAAATGTATACACGCGTATGCATATGTATACGTTTATACATGTATATGTAGACATGTGTATGTATGTGTGTGTATATATATATATACACTGAGTGGCCAAATTATGACCACCCCTTCAGTACGCTGTTGGGCCACCTTTTGCGCGTATTACTGCCTTAATTCGTCTGGGCATGGATTCTATGAGATGTTGGTAGGTGGTAGAAGGTATGCCAGACCATGCTCGCTGAACTGCACTTGCCAATTCCTGCAAATTTGGTACTGAATCCATCTGTCTGAGCGCCCGTTCAATTCCATCCCACAAATTCTCAATTGGATTGAGATCTAGGGATTGTGCTGGCCAACGAAGCAAGTTAAATTCTTCGTCATGCTCTTCGAACCATCTGAGGACGATGCCAGCTTTATGACAAGGAGCGTTGTCCTGCTGGAAGTATCCGTCCCCGCCAGAGTACACCATTGACATAAACGGATGTACTTGATCTGCGATGATACTTAAATACCCTTGGACATTAAGGCGTTGTGGTACAGGAATTAAAGGACCCATACAATACCAAGAGAGCATTCCCCATACCATAACGTTGCCACCACCAGCTTGAAGTGTCGTGGCAATGCAGTTGGGGTCCATGCTTTCGTGCTGTTTTCTCCATATTCTCATCCTGCCATCTGCGCGATGCATTTGAATTCGTGATTCATCGGACCACATGACCTTCTTCCAGTCATCTACTGTCCAATGTTAGTGCTCCTTTGCAAATTGGAGACGTCTGTGTTTATTGAAAGCAGACAGTAGAGGCTTACGATAAGGTCGTCTGCTTCCATATCCTATACGGCGCAATGTGCGTCGAACAGTCCGTTCAGAGGCGTTCACAAATGCTCCTTGATTAAGATCACTTGCAATTTGTCGTACTGTTGCTCTCCTGTTGCGCTGCACAACCCTGGCCAGCCTTCTCTCTGATCGAGCTTTCAGTACCCTGTGACAACCACAAGTCTGACGTTGAGACCCGGTTTTTTGCTTGATTGTCCATTCTTTGTACACATTAACAACTGCTGCTCTAGAACACTTCACAAGTGCAGCCGTTTTGCTGATACTCGTTCCGACACATCTCGCACCCACAATCATTCCACGTTGAAANCCTTTTCACGTACATGCTTTTTTGGTGTTTACATGTTATTTGATTCTGAGTTCTGTTGAAATAATAATTTTTTTTAGAATCAGCCTAATTTACTTTATAAAATAGTGCGTTTTATAAGTGTTTTAAAAATTATTAGCCCTTCGAAGCATGTTACAAGCGTGCATTCTATATATATATATAATATATATGTATGTATATGTGTTTCTTGGGACTGAAGAAATATGCACATGCATTGAATTATTTTGCTGCAAAAGGGACGCACTTTTAATATAAATTTACACATCTCGCTTCGTATTATTCTCTCTGAGAAGATGTCGATTTTGCTAAGATACGCAATAGCTTTTTAAGTTACAAAAAAAATTTAAAGCAGAATCGAATTTCCTGAGTTGTATGTAATATTGTGTTAAAATATCAGGATATTCAAAATCGCAGGTAAAGAAACAGCAATAACTGCAACAAAAAAAATTTTTTTTTTTGAAAACCTCTTATATAATGTTAAAATCGGCACAAATAGAGCACGTAAAAAATAATAATTTTAATACGCAATTCAGAACTCGCGTGCCGTGAAGCTTATAGTATTTTAAAACATGTGGAATTTTTAAATCACTTGGAAAAGCGTGGCAATAACTACCGAAAAAACTATCAAAAGCGCTTTGTATTCACGGTGAAATCGGCATAAATGAAGCACGTCAAAAAGTGTTACATTTAAATGTGAGATTCGAAATTAAAGGTCGCAAAGCAAGTAAAAAATGTCGGGTCTTTCAAAATCTTAGAAAAGTGTGTAGCAATAATTGTCAAAATAACGATTGAAAAATAAATTGATTTGCGTTAAAATCAGCACAAATAAAGCACATAAAAAAGTGGTTATTTAAAAGAGCGATTCATCTCTCGCGATTTGTAATAATATGTTGAAAATATCGAGATTTTAAAAATGACGTGAAATAGGTACCGATAACCGCCGATAAAAGTCATTTAGATTTGCGATAAAGTTTGCTCAAATTACGAGCGTCG